ATTCACACACTATTAAAACATTATTTCTTAAATATTAAGCAAATTTAAATCATGAACTTTTGCAAGCTGTTGTGTCCAAAAATGATTAAACAGATGTGGAGCCTGCAGCAGCATTAGACCTCTGATCTGATTTTTAGCTTACAGATGGAATTAAATTAATTCATGGCAATCACTGTAAAATCAAGGGTATGGCATTGAATGCTAGTTCACTGTTTAACCAGAATGTACCTGTTTCAACAGCTGTTAAGAAAAAATTGCATGCCTTAACTTTTCATGGAAATGTACCTTTAATGCCATCATAAATATCATTTTACAATACAAAAATTATTGGAAGATTTTGTTATTCTCTCTCACTTTTTTGAAAGAGGCACATAGTTTTTGCCTTTTTACAAGTTTCATATTGAGCCTAAATTACATGTACATGTATGGGTTCCATATTAAGCATGTACATATACAATAGAGGTGGGCTTCAGAGGCAGTATCTGTATATGTATACTAGTTGGCATTTTTGGACTATGGCTGCTGCTCAAAATAGGTATTTGACAGCATTGTTTTTCCATCCAAGTTAATACTCCTTCAGTGCTTTCCCCTCACCTGTGTGATGGCAACCTCTCCAATAACCTGCCCACTTGGCTGGTAAATCAAGAACCAAAATTTGTATGGTGGCTATCAAATGTAGTTTCTAGAAGGCAGAAGGATCTGCAAGTGAAATGTGTTCAAATTATTAGCATGGAATGCTGCTTTCAGTTCCTCATTATCACTGCCTCTTTCTTACCTAGCCAGTCACTATCTTTCATGTGTCATATTTTCTATAGGTGCTTTTCTGTGAGGTGGCAGCAGTGTTTTTGTTCTTGCTCTAGGCTAGGTCAAGACTGAACATGTGAATGAACAAGGAGATAGTGCAACACTTTTCAGGGGTAATATGCTTTTATGACTCTCTGAAGAGCCCCTGCTGGCCAGTCCATAAAGTGCCATTGGCATGAATTAGAATCTTCGCTTTAAGATGTATATTGCAAGGACAGTAACTGCTTTTAATTAGAGTAAAAGCTCAAAGCAAAAATAAATACATGTTACAAACCATGTAGCTTGGTGTTTGTCATGGTCTGCTCTTTTCCATCTTCCAACCTATTAGTAGTGAGAGTGGTCATCAAATGGAGGAAAAGGATGGTGATGAATAAACTTACCAGAGCTATCTTTTAATGGAAGGTGGAGAGATCCAAAATGTGCAGGCTAAAGTAACTTGATTCACTGTTTAGAAAGACATTGTAAGAGAGTAACTGTAATTTGATTCACTGTTTAGAAAGACATTGTAAGATTTAGGCTTCAGAACTGACTAAACTAGGGAAAAATGGGCTGTCAGTACAAAATCTTTTTGAAATAAAATACAACCTGTTCACATACATGCTAAGAAAATAAAAACAGGAAGGTCAATTTTTATTTGTTGTAAAGTCTTTTATTTGGTGTATTCAGTGAGTTTGTGGGTTATAAGACTTCTAATATAAAATCATGAACAATGGAGTGGGAAAAGTAATTACGCTGTATATTTTTAAAAGTATTTAAGTGTCTTTAAAACAAAATGTATTCCAATTATCCTGTCAGTCACATAAAGGGGAAATGCATTTTGTTGCAGTTAAAAAAAATCAAAAATAGAAGCATCAGTTTATTAAAAAGCATGTTTCCAGGTACAAAATGTTCATCTGCATAGCCTCTTTCTGTTTTTATTGTGTGAGGAACTGGATTTGATATAGCAAGATATGTAGTTTATATGATGTTAACATTTTTAAATCGCCTCTCATAAAACAGCAAAGTTGTTTTCTCTGTTTTGGATTGTTCACTATAGTTTACATTCTGGAATGTGTTTCTGTACATAGACTCAGGAACCATCTGACCTAACCATCTGACCTATCCAATTCTGAGATCATACGAACACCTTGATTAGATTATTGTTCCCCTTTCCTTGGAAGTCCTGTGAACTTTGTTCCCTTCAGTTGTTTTGACATTGTTTTTAAGACATTAGGTCGCCACTACTAATTTCATTGTCTATCCCCCAAAAAGTGAGTTAACAGATCATTCTGTAATTTTAAGGTGTTTACCAGTCATTTAGTTTGGACATCTTTCATCTTCTTTTTTCATGATGGAAGTAGGAGCTAAGAAGGTCCAAGGCCTGCACCATGTATGCTCAGTCATTGTCGACAGCGAAAACTCTCTCTGTCTATGGGAGGCCTAAACATTTCAACTCTTTATTCCTCCTGTAGGGCAGGATGTGGTACATCTTACTTCCACCTCCGTTTCATAATTAGCAGTATTATGCTTCCTGTGTGTATATCAGGAGTGGGCATCTATCAAGACTGCATGCAAGAAACCTTCCCAGTGCCATCAGCTTCAAAACTCTCGAATATAGAAGTGTAAATTAATTAATGGGAGAGAAAAGGGATTAGATTTAAATGCCTTTCACATTTCATTTTCTGTTTTCTACATTAAATCTATTGAGGTTATCCCCGTTACTGTTGGCAGTTTGACTCCTAGTATGTGGATTGCTTTCCTCTAATAGTACATCAAGCAGATAGTGATACCGAGGAAGTACCAGCAAATGATAAAAGTATAGGCCCTTCTTTTGTAGAAAAGATATTACTCAAAAACATATCAAATGATTTTATTTAAAAATAACGTTCTCAAGTCTGAGATACCTAAAACTACTTTTCCCAGTGAACAAGTGGTCACCTCTCAGTTACATGCACAGAAGCACCTAATTAGGCATTAATCAGGGATTTCTCATGCTCAAATGACATAAAAGAAATTTTCTTTTTTAAAAAGAATAAAATGAGATCAAATAGGGTAAACCTATCTGTTTCATATCGTGATTTTCATGTTTGAAGTATTTTACAGACAGTGGGACAGATTCTCTCTTTAAATTATGCTAGTATAAATTCAGAATAAATTCATCAATGTTAGCTGACTCGTACACTTATGTAATTGAGATCAAAATCTATACTTATGTCTGATTAATGGTAAGTCAAACTTTGGTCACATTCGCAGATATGTTTGCCAGTAGTAAAAATGTTATATTAGTAATATCTCAGAGTTGGATGTTACAATAATATATTTTATTTAGGTTACGTTTGACTGTGATTTATCAGAATGATTGCAATATGTTGTTTTACGGAAATGGAGACACAGTACATATAGAAAAGTTGATACTGATTTGTTTAAAGGAAAGATCTTCAGTGAAAATGCATACTGTATTTATATTTGCTTTTTAAATCTTTCTGTAATCTTTAGTAAAACAAATTACTGAAATAGGATACAAATGAACTGGAGACTGTTATATGCAGTGTTGCCATAGCTATGTTGTGCCTAGGATATTAGAGAGATGAGGGGGATAAGATAATAGCTTTTACTGGGCCACCTTCTGTTTTTCCAGAAGTTAGTCTAATACAAAAAAAATTACCTCCCCCACCTTGTCTCTGAAGATTATTATATCAGTTGTCTACTTTGCTCTTGTTGCTGCTGTGAGAATTCAGTAATAAATTATTAGTTGTTTTATTAAATATCTCCGCATACTCCTGTTGAATGAAAAGCATTTATTATATCAGTGAGGGTGGGAAGATAAGGTGTGAGTTTCTTATGCCCATGTTTGAGATCTATACCTAACTTGGTAGTCAATTAGTCTTCTCCATGGATTGATACATTTTTTCAAGTTTTAAGTTTTCTTGGAGTCTGACATACAGATATTTTATGCATGAGAAGAATATGCAGCACAAAAATGAATGTGTAATGCTTAAAAATTGAGCTAATCTCAAAAAAAAAGTGAAACTATAGACTATATATGTAAAATTTAACATATAGCCATGAGGTCAACATATGTAAAGACAGTCTGCTCTAGCAACCTATTAGATGAATTGAGAGAAGAAGGTTTAAGGCTTTAAAGAAGATTATCTTGCGCTTTTCCACATAGCAGTGCTGATTAATGCTGTATGTTTCTTTTAATCTCAGGGTTTGTAGGTGAAAATGCCCAACCAATCCCAGAAAACAACATTGGAAACAGAATGCTTCAAAGCATGGGCTGGACACCTGGCACTGGCCTGGGACCAGAAGGCAAAGGGATATCAGAACCAGTAAGAGCCATTCAGAGACCAAAGGGACTTGGACTTGGATTTAGCTGACAGAGAAGTACTCCAATTGCTATATAGAAAGCAGGAAGACCAACCTTAATTTAAAGAAACGGATGGGGGAGCTAAAATCTTATAATGTTTTTTGTCATCAGCAAATCCATTTGTTCACTTATGGAGTTCTGAAGCCTAAATGCTTCTTGTTTTTCCAGCTGCAAGGTACAGCCACAGTGGCAAAATAGGTGTTTGAATCCTCGTTCTGTAAGGGTGCTAAATGTAAAAACAAGTGTACTTTTTATTTCCCGTGATCTTAAAACAAAATTTGTTAGATATATGATTCAAACTGCAATGCATTTGTTTTTCCTGAAAAGCTGCTCTCACAGCAGATTTTAGCACTTGGGCAAACATTTTTTGGCACCATTTTCTCATTTGTGGTGTTCTGAGAGGATTTGTTATCAAGGAAAATGAAACCCTACGAAGCTGCTACATTTGTTCATTTTTCTTCTCATTTCAGGCACAAAAAAAAATCAAACTAGATATTTCTAGAAGTAGGCTGTATGTAAGATTAGATTAACATGATCTCTGCTTTTCCATGGTGTGACATACATTAGGTGCCCCAAATGGTGACATGGTATGTAGTTTGTTTGGCATAAGGAGAGCATAACTGATGGCAACTGTCAGCACAGGAAAGTAACACCATTACCTTGTAAAGCATCATGCTAACCTGTGTATAAGCCCTAATTCTAACACTTTTTATAATTGTATTACATCCTGTAAGATATTTTAAGTAAATCTTTTAAAACTTTGAGTGTTCACCCTGAGCTTGGAATTCTAGGGGTTTTTTAATATATATATTATTAGTGATCTCTTGACTCTCCCCCTTCTCAAAAATTGATGTTTTAAATGTGACTCTTGTATTGTTTCTTATACTTAGGGTTTTGGTATATTTTGAGTTGAGGGTGGGATTCATTGGGGGATGACTAACATTCAGTGTTTCTGTGATCGTTGTGTTGTCACAAACTGCCACAAACTTCAAAGCATCATACAAGAAGCAGAAAAAAAGACAGTGAAGCAGGTTTGAAGGGAGGGAAATACTTTGGCTGCATCTCTCAAATCTTGAGTGAGCAATATAAAGTCAAGAGGGGTCATTAAGCATTTTAATCAGTATCTAGAATCAGCACTAGTAATTTCATCAAACACCAACCAATCAAGCTGCCAGGGAACTATTAGGCTGGTGATGTAATTGAAGAGGAGCCATCATTCAAATGGACTAAGGGTGAAAACTTGGCCCATTGAAGTCAGTGGCAATATTTCCACTGACCGCAGTGGGGCCACAATTTTATTCTAAATTTATCATCAAGAAGAGGGTTCTGTTCTTTCACAACCTCACCCATTTCTAGCAAACACAATAGCTGGAAATGTAGCTACAATAGAAAGCAACAAATTAATTGAAAAACATTGTTTTCACTTTCCCAGTGCTAGTAGTATCTGCTTTTTTTTTTTTTCTTAAAGTCCGCTTACTATTGACCTAGTGTGGTCACTTATTAGTGTCTGATGTTGTCCTTGACTCTGATCAGGTTCACTGCATTGGAGTAGAACTCTTTCTTTCTGGTTTTTAAAAGCCTTTTCTGAATGTGATTTTTTTTTTGAGGGGGAGGGGTAAAAAGCCAACAATTTTTTTACTTCTTTAGTATTTAATCAGCAAGAACATTTGGAACTTTCTAGGCCATGCACTGTGTGTTTTTTTCATTTCAGACTTGTGCTGTACAGCCAAGCATATTGAAAGAGCTATACAGATTTCATGGCCAAAGATTTTGTGGCCATGTAATTGTGAACAGCCAAGGATTTTGAATACTGCAGTTAAGAATAGATTCCAGATGTATAATTGCCATTTAATATACACACATGGCAGTTTTGTATGTGTGCAAATAAATATCTACATTTTAACTCACGTGAAATTCGTCTACACACTTGATATTGCAAAGGAGTATGAAGTGCTGTTAATTTTCAAAGATGTGTTTGGAAGCATTATATGGGGCAGTCAATCACTTCTTGAAATTGTAGGTTACTCGTGAATTAATATGAAGACACATAGCAATGTTCAGTAAAAGCAGTAGGCTCCTATTATTATGGCTGTAGAAGTGAAAGTTTAAAGAACTTCCACCCCCTATTATAACTGCATCATGACTTACTACAAATTATGTGTATTGTTTGGTAATTGTTATTTGTTCCACAGTTGCATTGTTTTGAGTATTTCCAGGCAATATACATTAGCTGCAGAAATTCATGAATTATCGGTCTGCAGCTTCAAGAATATTTGAAAATGTTTGCTGTTTTAGTGGAGAATTTAAAAATAAAAAACTGCATGAATAAATTTTAGAATAAAAGCTTGCTCGTTACCTCTCTGTTCCCCATTTCCCCCACATTCATGGGTGCAATCAACATGGTCAATTCTCTTAGTGGAGGAATTAGTTTCATGAACATGTGAAGCATCAGCGCTAGAGTATGAAAATGTTACTTGCTAGTTTGAAATTAGTCTGTTTGAGATTATTAGATATCAAGGCTATTCAAACTGATTTTCTTTAGAGATAAATATGCCTAGTTTGTTTTGCAACTGGAATATCCTATAAATGCCACAGCAAACTAGGCTCCAGGGTTCAAAGCAGTAGAGGGAAATGATTTATTAAAATATCATGTAGGGGTATTTTTCTTTATTATTGCTATATAGTTCTCTCCCTACGTCATGCCTCCATTTTCATTTCTGTTTTACTAGGCCTCTTTACACTGCTGTTATTCTAACTTTGTGATTGTGTAGGTTAAAGCTAGTGCTTGTGTGGATTTTTTTAAAGGTCACTTTTTGGAAACACTTGGCTTTGGGATTGTGATAAAACATAACACTATATCAAAATGTGTTAACATTTGCCTATTAGGTTTTACCATTCTTAGCTTATAACAATACCTAGTACAATGATGTTTCACATTATTATAAAATATAGACACAAGTATTTTGATACGTCATCTGCTATTAGATATGCTGTTGAAATAAATGTTCCTTTCACATATTCCTAGATAATGGACACTCCCATATCTGAGAGTTCCCACTATTCACCTTATGCTTTCCCTTTAGGTGCTTGATTAATTAGTACCCCCAAAATTTTCTGCCTATATTGAATAGCTTAAAAAAAAAACCCCACACATTTAGAGTAATGTACATTGAGTTTTGATGGAGATGCCGATATACCTCAACGTTTTGTGAATTGGGCCATTGACCTTTACTAAAACAAATGAGCAACTGCTGGAAGCTTTTTTTAAAAAATAAATATTTGTTGACGTTATTAAAAAATAAATATTTGTTGACAATTGATAACAAGCTCGTATTGTCCCCGACTTTGTCTTTTCTGTAATTAAGGTCTATAATAGGTCAGATGAATTGACAGCAAATGCTAAACTCTCTGTATAGAATACATTGCTGTAACACAAGCAAGATGTAACAAAATAAAACAGACTTCATTCTTCATGTTCTTGTATGCTGTGTACTTTTAAACTGCCTTTTTGACAGCGTGTTTATTGCTGAGTCAGCGTGTAGTTAAGGCTACTAATATCTTTAACAAATAAACGATAGCTAGAAATGTTGTTATATAAGGCTTGTTAACTTTACTAATTCCCTTCCTGTCTTTGTATTCCCCAGAAGGAAAAGTTGCACTTAAATAGTAATATGCAAATTAGCTATAGAAATATATATATTAGATGAGTGTTAAGATTCCACTAAAATCCCAAAGTCAGGAAGTGCCCCAGGTAAGATACTAGGGATGTAAAATCCTGTTTAAAATGGTAACTAGTTAAACTATATGTTTAACCAATTAATCAGCTTGCTGAGTTATGCCACAGGCAGGGGGCCCCTGCAGCAGCCTCCTACATATGGTGCAGTGTGGTGGGTCCAGGCAGAGTGGAGCAGTCCCGCACCTGCAGCATGCCACTGTGGGCCCAGCCAGAGAAGCCCTATGCCTGCAGCACCCCATTGGCAGGGGGCTGCTCCAGCCCAGCCATGCCTACCATGCTGTGCTGCGGGCCAGTTAATGAGTTAATGGTTAATGGCTAGGACCTGGAGTACTGGGCTCAGGTTTCTCTTCCCAGCTCCACCATTAGTCTCTGGGTGAGCAAGTGGCCTAGACAATGAGACATCTCAGAGCAGGGAACTGAACTATAGTGACCTAGCTGATGGACAGGGGGTCAGAAAGGCCCTGAGAGGGAAAATACATTGCCTCAAGGGAAGGATGGGCCCCACTCTATTCCACAGCAGGGGCAAACAGAGAGACATTACTGAGGGCAATGAGAGAGGCCCTGGTTGTACTGGTACCCCAGAAGAGGTTTGTCTTGTTACTTCAAATCTAGATTGTATATGACTTGGCTGGAAGACTGAGCCGCTGAAGAATCACCATTAAACAGAGCAGAGTCAGAGTGCAGGCACATGCACTCAGCCCGGTTGCGCGCAAGAGGTGAGAGCACAATGTTACAACCACACACTTTATTTTCAATACAGAGCCTTTCTCGTGTGCAATTCGGAAGAAGAGGTGGTTAACTACAGAGTAAACTGGGACCTTAGGTAGCCTGTATTTTGCCATCAGTCTTTCACTTTTGGTTTGTGGATCCCCCAGACACATCAGGCACTCCTGTAAGTGCCAAATCTTCAGTGTACATACACCCTCATTCTACTCAACTTTGAAAGCCCCGGGGGCCACAAATGATACTCACAGCACATGCTAGGGCTGCAACTTAAGTGTGGATGCAAATATATGCAAATAACTTCTTTCACACTGATGGGCATGAATACAAAGCATTTCCCACAATGCCCCGACATTCCTGGCACCTCCTCCCTGAGGGCTAGAAACGTCGACACTCTATACCCATCTGTTCCAGCCAGCCTGTCCGCTTGTGTCTTTCAGTGCCTGCCTGAGAGACGCCTTGCCATTGTGGAGTGTGTTTCCAAAGGAGACCATGTTCAAAGGATCCCACCCATGGGCTGCGTGTTGAACCCCATGTAAACCCAAACTGCACCACAGGCCGCAAACAAACGGGCTGCGGGCCGCATGTGGCCCACGGGTCATGTGTTGAGTAGCCCTGGACTAAAGTGTGGAGACCTCTCTGTTTTTATACCTCATAAGGTCCCAAAGGATAGTCCCAAACTCCTGCCTGGTCATTGTACTCTTCACTGTATAGATAAGTTAAACATGCACAGTAGATACTTATAAACTTAGTGAAGGACTCATAAAAATATACTGTGCAGAGTGCATTTTTCAAATCAAAAGAGCTCATTAAAAGCTATTTCCATGCTAAATTTCAATACATCAACTAAGAAGCCGATAAAAGTTGTAAAAATTTTATCATTTCCCCCCTTTCATATGTCAGATCAGCTAAATCTTTTCTGCTTTGACTCCTGCATCTCCCCCAATTGTCAGACAGGCCTACACTAGAAACTTTTTCTGGTGTAGCAGTGTCTGTTAGGTTGTGATCTTTTTTGTGTCACTTCTATGCCAGAAAAAGCCTACTATAGATGAAGTTGTACTGACATAAATGTGTCCTTGTTGGCAAAAGCTCTTCTTGCTGGTATATGCTGTGCACTCACCAGAAAAACTGAACTGCTAAATAAATTATTTTTGTGTTCCCAAATTGTTTTAAATGACTTGCATCAGACAGAATCTGAAGATTTTTATTTTTTTATAAGAAAATTGGTAAATAATAGTCTATTTTAGATTGACCAAAAAATGTAGCTTGACCCAAAATGTTTCATTTCTGGCATTTTTAAAAGGTTAGATTCAAAAAATGGCCACAGGAGTAGCTACTATCCTTAACCTTTAGCCCTGAGGTTAGGGTACTCCCCAAGATATGAACCCCACTTCAATTCCTCATTCTGCTTGATGTTGAGTAAGTATTTGAACTTAGATCTCCCACCTCCTCAGAAGTGTGTTCTACCCAATGAGCTAATGGATATTTTGGAACAGATTTTTCTCAGTCTCTTCTGTGGAAGTTGTTCCATTTTTGTATAAAATTCAGTAACCACTGGAGTAGAGACTGGAATCCAGCTATTTCGGTTTCTAAGCGCTGTCCTAAATACCAGGCAACAGACACTCTCTCCTTTATTTTCTCTGGGTGTGTCTAGACTCGCCGTTTTTTCTAGGATACCAGAGGTATCCCAGAAAAACTTCACCATGTCCAGGGAACACATTTGCTCTTCTGCTTTTTTTTGCAGAAGAGCAAACGTGTTCTTTTGGGGAGCCCTGTGTACCTAGTTCTATGAGGAATAAGGGCTCTGCCGAAAGAGGAAGCTTTTCTTGTCTAGATGGGGCCAAATGGCAGAAAAGCCTCTTCTGGAAAAGCTATTGGCAAAAGCTACGCAAATTGCGGCGCACAATTTCCATAGCTTTTTCCGATAAAAGAGTGTAGACTAGACCTAGCCTCTTCTGTTCTCTCTCCTTAGCCCAGTGAACTAATCAAGAATTTTATACACATGGTACAGCTTGAACAGGAGAGATTGTGAGAGACCTATTCAAAATGCCTCCTAGCCCAGTGAGTAGGAATGAAATTAAAAGGCAATAAATTTAAAAGTGAAAAAGGAAATATTTTTCACATAGCATGAATGTGACAATCCTATCAAACTCACTGCCACAGGCCATGGAGCCATATGTCAAGCAAGATTAACATGTATATAAAGAATATCCACAGCATTATTGAGTAAATGAAACTTAACTGCCTCGAAGGAACTTCCCCTTCCAATATAGACCTTCCTACATCATCTTCTGTAGTGTTTGGTATTGTTACTGGTGCCCAAAAGTGATCTGACTCACTGTGGCAAATCCTATAAGGACTGCTTTCTGGTACAGTGATCTGTGATTTATTTCTGCCCCTCTCCCCTCCCCCATCCTGCATATAACGTCTTTTCAACATGCTATCATAGAAAACAGTTTCCAGTTTCAGTAATGTATGGACATTCTTTGAAATAGCAAGATGACCATTTTTCAGTTAGGCCTGGAATAAAACAGGTTCTGGTATGAAGCCTTGATTCCAGGCATTCTGAAGATATTTTATACACTCCTCCAGATCCCAGTTAGTTTATTATACAAGTGTCTATTGAATCTTCATTATCTTAGTAGAACAGTGTATTTTAAGGTGACATTCTTTAGCTGTGCATTCACGTGTAGTGATCAGGGTAGCTGAGGAGGAGGTATTCACATGGTACTTTTCTAGAGAACTGAACATTTGGAGGGGGGGGTGCGAATTTATACAAAGCTTGACCAAGATATTACACTCTGAAGTGCCAAATCCTTGGTTATGCACATTGACCTGACTTTTGGGTTTAAATCCACTTCTGCTAATAATGAACAAAGTCTACAATATACTACACTGAGCATACCCAAACAAGTATAGCTAAAACTCTACTGAACCCTATGAATACAGCTCTTCTGAACGTGACATATGTTACACCTAGGGCACTCCATGTGTTGGTTAGAATAAATTTAAGATTATACTGTACTTTTGTAGTATCAGAGAGATTTTCATCTAGCTATACCCATAGTATTATAGTGAGATTCTCTGTTCTCAAAATTGTGTAACACTTATTTTTATGCTTTTTATAGCCATGCAAACAATAATAAGTAACATCAATTTTAACACATTTTGCCAACGTGCCTTTACGCTCACTCCAATATATAGGTTAGTATAGATGTTTTCATTTGTCAGTGACCTTATGAGTAATGAATTGCAGAGTGATAAATTACATCTAGGCAATTTCTACTCATTATTGATAAAGATGAGGTCAACAAATGGTGGCCCCAAGCCAGTTTTGAGCCTCCACTCAAATTCTCCAATGATTGTTTGACACAGGGGGGAAGGAAAATCTAGTCTGAGCATTGTGCATGCATTTCCTAGCAGTAAATGTGTTAAGCATAGCTTTTAGATTTATGGGGACATCTGTATTTTTTTATTATTATTCTTTCAGCCAGGATGATATTTGATTAAATTAACACCAATTTAAGGAAACTTTTATTTTAACCCTTTACCACCACTTAAAGCTAGTCTTACAGACATAATTGTTTAAAAATGCCTACCCCATCCCTGTGGGAAACAGATTTGGAAGGGGGAGAAATCCAATAGTGCTGTTTTGTAGTAGCACTTCAACAGAAAGAAATGTTCACAACTACATGGGCACCAGGTTTGTATAATATTTAATGGTGAATAAAATGGGTCTGAGCAGAGCCGTCCTGACCATTGGATCGACTGGGGAAACACTCCAGGCCCTGTGCTTTGAGGGGCCCCACACTTCAGGGAGATGTGGGGTCTAGAGCAGCCTATGGGATTGGTGGGGGGGCCTGGTGCTCCACCCTGCAAGCTTCCAGCTCCACCCTGCAAGCTTCCAGCATTACTCAGGAGAAGGGGCAGAAGCTAGAAAGAAGTGGGACAGGGCCTTAAGGAAAAAGATGAACGGGGCAGAGCAGGTATAGGAAGAGGCAGGGTGGGGTCAGG